GCCCCATCCTCTGAGCTCCTGACTCTTTATTCAGCCTTTCTACTGCTACTCCCTGACCCCTTCTCACTGCTGCTGTCTTTCAGCCACACCCCTGATCTTAAGGTAGGTAAGATCTATCATCTAGCCTTCTTGGATAAGAGAAAAAAATCTCGGAGGTCCCGTGTGCAAGTTGCACACATTAGGATCCCTTAGTGGTCCAAAATCAATAAGAGTAGGCTTTGGCCGCCACTTGTGCAAAATTCAAAATTAATTCCTATCCATCAAATGTGACCCCCGCGCTCATATGTCTTTATGCTGTCGGAGCGCCGTAAAACACTTACCAAAACAAAAACGTGTACATCAATTTATCTTTAGCCTAGATTCCTCTTAAAAATGTCTTTTCCAATCAAAGCTGGAGACTACCCGGTACTATAATTCTTTAAACATATTTTGTTCGTTTCCTTAAAGAGACCAACAGTCTGGACATAATACTGGAACATTTCTGGGATCTTTTATTAACTTGATTATGTGTCACGACGAGGTGGAATCTGGCGCTCGTCAATTTGGGGATTAGGGGTCATTTGTATCACCTTAAAGCTTGTTCATATTTTGTCTTAGTTTCTGCGAAACCCCCCCCCCATACATCTTGATTACAAGTCGAGATATTTGTGATTAAACAGTAAACGGGGTGGGGGTCGACTAGTTTCAGAGGTAATCTTATCGACAAAATAGCCTTCAAAGTTTGGTGATTCCCATAGCTTGAGAGTCCTTGGAACCTTTTAAATGTGTAGCTTTACTCAACGTTTTTGAGTAAAAAGAACACAAAAATACATTTTTAAATTGACGCAACAGTTCTCGGGCCAAAAAACAAAAATTCGACAAAACCGCCTGAGTGCAGAAAAATGCTGGTTTCTTTGATTTCATAACTTTGATAAAGCCTGATTTCACCACGATGCCTCTCATAATATTTAGAAAACTCATCTGTGTCCCTCCTGTAGTGATTTCTCAAGAAATATCGACATATCGATATTTTTCGATATTACAAAATTATTATCCATAAATTGAAACTCACCGATTTACCTTCAAATATATCGATATATCGATAGCTATCGAATCTGGTCGATGTTTCCAAAATATCGACGCACGAAAAACGGCTGTCCTTTTCTTTTCTTTTTCTTTTTAAATTGGTTTTTGAAAAATGCTTTTTGTGTTTATTGTGGGGGGGGG